AACGACAATGGTTGGTGCCACTTGGGCTAAATCACGAATTGGTAGAAGTTAGAATTCATGGACTGGCCATTGAATCGGGTCCCAGTGGCTGAATGGTATACGAGCCAGCTTGCCTTGTAACCGGAAGGTCCTGGGTTCGAATCCCAGTGGGTGCGTACTACCGATGATTCCCAAACTAGGAGGAAACAGCAGCTGTCCAGTACTCCAGTGCTGGTTTTCAATGGTTCTCTAACTGATATCAATCCGTGATCAACTCGTAAAAACATAAGTAACCCTTACAAACCAAACTATAGAAAATTTGTTTTGATAAAGTCTCACAGTGTTATACAGTAATATTTACTGATGACCACATTTCAAGCACAATGTATTTTTACTGCTCATAATGATATCAAGGCAATCACTTACACAACTTTCTAACTTCGTTTATATAATTCCATTATTTTTCATCGCTTGACTTGATGATTGGTAGTAGTATTTTCCATATTTCCGGTATGAGTGATGAGTCATTTCTATTGCACATGTGTTGGGTGTGGACTCGATGAACCAGGAAGGATTCAGTAATCAACCTCTCGCACTCTCCACCTGCCTATATTACTTTTAGAATTTTAACCCTCTCCCACCCTATTGTGTGATTGATTGTGTGTTAATGCATGCATGCAGTGCGATTGCTGAGCTTTTTTCTCTAAATTACTTATCTTCGTGGGATCAATTATTCTTAAGTTCTGACAGGTAATCTCACTACTCCTGATCTACTAGTTTGACCTATGTAGTTGACTTAACTCACAGTCATTGCAGGGTATTTTGTAAATTATATCATTTTGTTTAATTAAGTCAACCGACAGGGTCTTTTAGCCTACAGAGCTTGTCCCTGCCTGAGTGAGTTTGTAGGTTTGAATGCCACCGTAATCCCTGCTTTATTAAGAATCCTACGTGGGGTCTCAGATGTCCCCTCATTATATGGTATAACAGTAGATGACTTATATTCTCGATTATTTATGTTATCATCACTACGTAGAATTCTTAATAAAGTGGCATTTAAACCTAAAAACTCACTCAGTTAGGACAAGCTCTGTAGGTTAAACGACCGTGTAGGCTGACCCAATTAGACAAAATTACATAATTTACGAAATACCTTGCAGTGACTGTGATTGAGGTCAACTACATAGGTCAAACTAGTAGATCGGGAGTAGTGAGATTATCAGAAGATAAGAACTTACCTAAGGTTAGAATGATTGATCCCACGATGATAAGTAATTTAGAGAAAAAAGCTCAGCGACTGCACTGCATGCATGCATTAGCACACAACCACACAGTACGATGGAGTAGAGTTACAATTCTAAAAAGTAATATATATAGATTGAGAGATAAAGGTTGATTACTGAATCCTTGTTCATCGAACAATCTACACCCAACACGTGCAATAGGAATGACCCATCACTCATACCGGAAATATGGAAAATACAACTACCAATCATCAAGTCAAGCGATGGAAAATAACGGAGTTATATTACCGAGGATAGAAAGTTGTGTTAGTAGTGACTTGATATGATTATGAGCAGTAATAAATTGTGCTCGAAATGTGGTCATCAGTAAATATTACTTACTGTATAACACTGTGAGACTTTATCAAAATAAATTTTACCCATAATGGAATTGTACTCTACCACAGTGCAAAAGTTTTATCCTTATACTCCTCATACTACTTATATATATTCACGAGTAGAACATGCAAATCACAACAGTAATTATTTCTATAGTAAATGAATAGCTTTCCAAGATGGAATGCCTGGAGTTCTAGTCAGAAGTCGTGATCAGTGGGCTCCACCAGTTTGGATGCAAGGACAAACGCTGGTCGATGATAGTAACTGATGATGGAGATATATACCGCAAACTAGGAGAAGCTCGGTGGATAGTGTTAGGACGCTCGCCGACCATGCACATGGTCCGGGGTTCGATCCTCGGCCGACGCACTCCTTTACCTCGCTAAGCCGGAAATAATGCTGGTGAAGAGGAAAGGTTGGGCATGAGGCTAGCAACCCCATCCTGTAAAATAAACACTGCCACAGAAACTTCAAGGCACTAGCTTGAAGCCCTATGTTCCACTGGGGAACTTGGAGGAAAAAAAAGGAGAAGCTAAAATGTGTAGGTCATGGGACTTCATCCCACTGGAAGAATGGTCAACAGGCTCTCCTTGTAACCTGGAAATCCTGAATTGGATCTCTCACTGGTGTCAAGGGTGAATCATTTCTGTGACATGTTACCTCAGTTGATTCGATAAGTGAGGCTTCAGTGATTAGTCTCAGCGATTATATAACATTTTAAGACTTTCATTTTGTCCTATCCTTTGATATGGTTGTGTGTAACTGTGTGCAGTGCTATAGATGTGCTGTTTTGCCTAGATTTCTTGTCCTGGTAGGGTCCTTACTGGAATAGATTTCACATAGATCAGTGTAGGTCCCACCATCTCAGCATATTAGACAAAAAGAAAGAGGTGAAGTGCAGGTCAGGAGGTTATTGAAAGTATTTTCCGAGGTTGGACTATCTGAGGCAGACATTCCACTAGGATTCTACTAGATTCAACTAGAAATGGTCCTAATTAGACTGAGTCACTAAACATATTCAACAACACAATAAGAAGACGTGTAGTTTATCTGAAACGTGTAATGTATTGGCGCAACACATTTCGGACATTCTGATCACACACACGAGTACTCGTGATACAAATATTTTATACAAGGCAAGAAGGCATGAATAATTATAATACAGGTCAAGGTCACAGATCAGATCGCATTGATCACATTGATCAAATCGCCACATTACGGATCATCATTGAAAAAAGCTTGGAATGGCAATCAGCTCTCCACCTTGCTCAACTTCATCGACTTTGAAAAGGCCTTCGACAGCGTCGATCAAGAGGTGATTTGGAAACTACTTCGCTACTACGGGGTGCCGCCGACAATTATACATCTCATCCAACAATTGTATGACAACGCTGCATGCCAAGTAATCCACAACGGGAAGCTCACGGAATCCTTCGAAGTGAAGACAGGAGTAAGACAAGGTTGCCTACTATCGCCAATGATTTTCCTGATTGCAGTAGATTGGATAATGTGACAAACAGCGAGCAGTGGTGAAACAGGCATAAAATGGACTCACACAAAAACGCTTGGAAGATCTGGACTTCACCGATGATATATGTCTGATTTCCCACAAACTAGAAGATATGCAAGCGAAAAGCAACAAGTTGGAAGAAGAAGCATCAAAGATTGGACTTCAGGTGAACATAGAGAAAACAGAGGTGATGAAGATTCCTGGCCAACACCACCAACAGCAACAACAACAACAGACAACCATCAGCATAAATGGGAGGAACCTGAAAGAAACAACCTCTTTTACCTACCTAGGAAACATCCTTTCAACTACAAGGGGAACTGACGAGGATATCAAAGCAAGGATCGGGAAAGCAAGACAAGCTTTCATTTCTCTCAAGTCTGTGTGGAGGTCAACAGCACTCAGCATCAAAAATAAGATCCAGATTTTCAACTCCAATGTGAAGTCAGTGCTACTCACTATACGGATCAGAGACTTGGCGCGTCATAAAGAGCACCTCAAACAAACTACAGACCTTCATTAACAGTTGTCTTCGCTCAATACCAGTCAAGATCAGATGGCTGGTCAGAAAAGATCAGCAACAGAGATCTCTGAATATAAGCGAACCAACTCAGCAGGAACCGATTGTGAAACAAAAAGGCAGGGAGAAATGGATACGGATTGGCCGTACTCTAAGGAAACCATCAAGTGACATCACTAGACAAGCCATCGCTCGAGTGGAACCCGAAAGGGAAGCGGCGAGTTGATCGTCAGTGCAAGGGTTACTTAGAGGAGGAGGTGATGTGAAGAGGAGATGAAAACGTGTGGGCAGACTTGGAGCCAGGAGAAGAGTCTAGCAGAGAACCGAACGCAATGGAGACGCATGGCTGAAGCCCTATGTTCCTCTAGGAATTAAAGGAAACAATAATAATAATCAAGGTCACAGATAATAGGTAGGGAGACGCAAAGGTGTGGGTAAGAAAGAGAAAAAGAGAAAAAAACAAAGCACAGAAGGGGTTGAAAATATTATGAAGTAAATTGGACCTTGCTTCTAAATTGGATTACCAAGGCAGGTTTAAGGTGATAACAAATAACTTTTGGACACATAAGACAGACAGGTTTAAGTCTCTTTATGGCTAAGGCTTCAATGAATTTAAGTATGTAACCCAACCTTGTTTTATATATGGGCTTAAAGGCATTGTTGAAATCAACCTTATACGACCCGTCTCTATAATGTGTTTCGCTATAGATGATGTTGGACATCTATTTCCGGGTTCAGTTGTGTCTGGCGATTTCATTTGTTGTTGCAGCCACTCTGGAATATGTTCTGTAGCCCTAACCTGCAGAGACCGATGGATCCTCCCTATGTACGTGTTCACATAATGAAATTGATAAACACAGTGGGATGTGACACTATCGTTCGGATAATGTGAGGGCTTACAGGACAGCTTAGTTCTCGTTTTCTCTATGAAGATAAGTTTAGCTGCATAATAAGTTCTATTAATTACGGCCTTGAGTCTTTGTCTAGTGACGAGACTTTGTTGATCACCCCTGAACGGCAAGGATATGTAAACATCCTTTTTTGGAGCTGATTGGATTGGTAGAGCTTCCGTAACGCCGTAACACGTTTCAGATAAACTACGTCTTCTTATTGTGTTGTCGAAATTCATAAAGGGAACTAATTGCTCTAAAAATATTCAAACATTTTCTCGTAGGGGATTGCTAATTAACTCTTGACATTTCAAAACAAAATATATATATCTCGTCAATTTGTGAGCACCTCTCATTTAATTGAGCTAGTGAGTTTCAGGTAAAATGCACTAAAATTTGTTTGTTTAACTTTTCATAATTCTTGAGCTGTTATATATCGTGTGTATCATTCTCTGATTTTCACTACATCCATTTTTTAGAAGGAAAGATTGTTCAACTGTAAGTCTGTTCGTCAACTTTTCAACCGATTCAACACGTTATTTTAATATCAGTGTTCAAATTAATTAGCTTAATATCAAAATGTATTTGCGACTACATGAATTTCATAAAACAAATTAAACACAGAGTGTAATATAATCTCTGTGATGCACCCCTAACTGCATTCCCCTTTTATGAATTTGAATAAAGCAAGAACAAAAGTGTGGTTTGTGCAGAATAATATGGTACCATCATTTATTTCGTCGGCTTCTCATCAGCTGCTTACAGCCTAAATGAATTGTGAGGTTTACGTACAGAAAAGTCTACATGGAAAGGACAATACTTACATTTCAATAGCTTTTGTCCAAATAGCTTTAAACGCGGTCTAGTTAAGACTCTGTACCATAGAGCGAGAAGAATATGCTCTGTAGAGAAATTAGAGGAAGAATTTGTATTTCTTCAAAAGACGCTGAAGAGCAATGGTTACCCTCAAAGGTTCATCAACAAGTATGGAAGATCTGAAGTCAAAAATGTAAAACAAATCACAGTTGAAAAAAAGCCAATCTACTTTGAGCTTGATTATAAAGGTGAAAACATTACAGCGATGATCAACAGAAGGCTGAGTACATCACTAGCTATAGCCTATCCTGCAGCTAAGCTCGTTCCCGTCTCTCGAACAACTTGCTCTTTGGTGCAATCAAAAATCGATAGATATCCTTCTCATGTGAACTCCAACTGTGTGTATACAAATTTACATGCATCTGCGGAGCAGTTACATTGGAAGGACAGAAGGAAGGGCATATCTACGATTTTCTAAACATGTACCAAAAAGCTTACGTCTAAAGGGAACAAATTCTTTAAACAGTGCCATCGCCAGGCATCTCCTTGATATGGGTCATGAGGTGGAAATCAAAAAATCCTTCAAAATTATCTTTAAACAAAGGAGTTTGATGCTGCTCAAGTTTGCTGAAGCAATTTCTATCAAACGCTACAAACCAGATTTATGTGCTCAGAAAGAAGCAGTTATTAGTCTTTCCTTGCCATGGTAACTGCATGTCTTTATTCTCTACTCTGATTACGTAATCTTTGTCTTTAACCTCACCCCTCTTTTTTATAATCTGTAATATTGCTTGTCTCTTGTTTCTATGACGTGATTTGAACTCATTACATCGTTACCAAATTTATTAGTTACTCATCATCTTACTCACCTCTCGTCTTAATTACGTAACTCCTTTACCATTCATTGTATGCATACATTTATTTTGACTTGAACTGCCTGTGTAAAAACTATATAAGCACAATTTTCTGAGCACTTTTCACTAATTGTGGAACCTTCTGTCAACTGGCAACATGTAAAATTTGCAAGTATGTTAAAACTTTTCTGTACGTAAACCTCACAATATATTTATGCTGTAAGCAACTGATGAGAAGCCGACGAAATAAATGATGGTACCATATTATTCTGCACAAACCACACTGTTGTTCTTGCTTTATTTAAATTCATCAAGGGGAATAAATGCATGAAGGAACAGTTTTAACATACTTGCAAATTTTGCATGATGTCAGTTGACAGGCGGTTTTGGACTTGGTGAACAGTGCTCAGAAAATTACGCTTATATAGTTTTTACACAGGCAATTGAAGTTTAAACAAAGTAAATATATTCATACAATGGCAAAGGAGTTACGTAATAAAAACGAGAGATGCGTAAGATGCTGAGTAACTAATAAATTAGGTAACAATGTACTGAGTTCATCTCAAATCATGGAAACAAGAGACAGGCAAAATTATACTATATCAAATGGGGGTGAGATTAAAGCCAAGGATTACGTAATCAAATGAAAGAGAGAGTAAGGACATCCAGCTACCAGTGCAAGGAAAGATTGTTTACTGCTTTTTTCTGAAGACATAAATCGGGTTTCAGGAGTTCGATAGAGATTGCTTTAGATATGATGGAGAAGATTTGTAGCTCAGGTGGATGATTTTGATGTGGTTGTGCTCTCTGAGCTAGTTGGATAGTTTATTTGCGAAGCTTTCATCGCCCCAACACTAGGCAGCATCTTCAGCACATACTTCAATTTGAAGGAAGTGAGCTTTCAGATTTCTCCACGAGTTCACAATTAGTCATCTCTCCTGGCGACCACCTTGAACGTGACTCTTTGGTTGTGTTTGTGTGTTTTCACACCCTCTAGGCTACTTGTATTGGTGGTGCTGATTGTTTCCTTGACTTGAACTTTGACCCTTCGTGTGTGCGTTAGATTTCCTTCTTATCGGTTGATAAATTTTGTCTGTCTCGATGTGTCTATTAATTGACGATTCACTGGAATACCAGGTGGGCTTCTAAAAATTCTCTGGCTAGCATTCTTGGTGTTTCCTCTGTCTAATATTTGAACTTTGGTTGTCCCAGTCGAATTGATGTCCGTGGTTGTCTGTATGTAGCGAGTGATATGAGCGAGGGAGTGGATGTCATGTCTTCCGACGACTAGCTTATATTTATTGATACGAAGACGAAGGGGACGTCCACTTTGGCTAATGTAGTGTTTTTCGCAGTTGTTACAATTTATTCTGTAGAAGATTTTGTTGGATGTCATGTCATATCACTCGCTAGATACAGACAACCACGGACATCAATTCGACTGGGACAACCAAAGTTCAAATATTAGACAGAGGAAACACCAAGAATGCTAAAGAAATTTTAAAAGCCTGGTATTCCTGTTAATCGTCAATCAATAAACACATCGAGATAGACAAAATTTATCAATCGACAAAAAGGAAATCCCACACACAAAGGGTCAAGGTTCAAGTCAGGGTGTGAAAACACGCAAAAACAACCAATCAAATTCAAAGTGGTCACCAAGAGAGATTACTAATAAACTCGTGGAGAAATCTACAAGCTCACTTCCTTCAAATTGAAGTATGCGCTGAAGATGTTGCCTAGTGTTGGGGCGATGAGAGCTTCGCAAATAAACTATCCAACTAGTTCAGAGAACACAACCACATCAAAGTCATCCACCTGAGCTACAAATCTTCTCCATCATACTGTGGTGACTAAACATCAATAATTAAGTTTTTGACCCTTTCAAACTTTCATATTTCTTTTGATACGAGGGTTGTATTTCTATAAATATTCAACCTATTGTGAGTTCGCGAACACACACATATTCGTAAAAAAAGACTGTCCAGAACCAAAGCAATCAAGATCAATCGTATTAAGACTAAAACTCATTGAAATCATTCAATTTTCCTGATTGCAGTAGATTGGATAATGCGACAAACAGTGGGCAATGCGGAAACAGGCATAAAATGGACTCACACAAAAAACTTGGAGGATCTGGACTTCGTTGATGATATATGTCTGATTTCCTACAAGCTGGAAGATATGCAAGCGAAAAGCAACAAGTTAGCAGAAGAAGCATCGAAGATAGGACTTCAGGTGAACATAGAGAAAACAGAGGTGATGAAGATTCCTGGACAACAACAGACAACGATCAGCATAAATGGAAGGAACCTGAAAGAAACAACCTCCTCTACCTACCTACCTGGGAAGCATCGTTTCAACTACAAGCGGACCTGATGAGGATACAAAAGCAAGAATCGGAAAAGCAAGACAAGCTTTCACTACTCTCAAGTCTGTATGGAGGTCAACAGCACTCATCATCAAAAATAAGATCCGGATTTTCAACTCCAATGTGAAGTCAGTGCTACTATACGGATCATAAACTTGGCCAGCGCGTCATAAAGAGCATCTCAAACAAACTACAGACCTTCATCAACAGTTGTCTTCGCTCATTGCTACTCAAGATCAGATGGTCGGCCAGAAAAGATCAGCAATAGGGATCTCTGAGAGCAAACCAACCAGGAACCGATTGTGAAACAAATAGGCAGGAAGAAATGGAGATGGATTGGCCATACTCTTAGAAAACAAACCATCAAGTGACATCACTAGACAAGCCATTGCTCGAGTGGAACCCGAAAGGGAAGCGGCGAGTTGGTCGTCAGTGCAAGGATGACTTGGAGGAGGTCATGTGAAGAGGAGATGAAAACGTGTGGGCAGACATGGAGCCAGGTGAAGACTCTAGCAGAGAACCGAACGCAATGGAGAGGTAAGCGGCTGAAGCCCTATGTTCCTCTAGAAATTAAAAGAAACAATAATATTATATAATAATTCTAATTCAATCGGTGGATGGTAATGTCTCGATTCTTCATTAGATCCAATCCTCCCGTCATCATCTTTCTCTTTCAGTGATTCGTCTAGCTGACTGTCGTTTCCAAATGAAATTTACGTCTTTTTTTCTTTTGAATGCTGTGAAACAGAGTAGTGAAAGTAATTTTGTTTTCTCTCTATCTCTGTCTGCCCTTCTGCTTTATAGTGTGCAGTAAATGTCAGACGACTGTTGCTAACATATTGAGTAAAGTGTTGAACTTAGATAATCAGCTTAAATGGGAAAAGGAATTTTTAAATGCATGTGAATACACCGGTCCATTTCGTGATTATGTAAGTTTTGTGGTGTTAAATGGCAGTTGTAAATAGTCAATATAGTGTATATATATATATGGTTTACTCATGAGACATATCAGATATGGAGGATTTCATCATGAGCTGACATCAGTTAGAGAACCACTGGAAACCCAGCTATGAATATTGGACAACTGTTTCGTCCTAGTTTAACACTCTTCATCAGTATAAAACCCACCGGAGTGCGAACCCAGGACCTTCTGGTTACAAGTTGAGCCACTTTGACCCGATCCAATGGTTCTTGAATTCTACCCTCTGCGTACTGATGAAGAGTCCCAAACTAGGACGAAACAGTTGTCCAATATTCATAGCTTGGTTTCCAGTGGTTCTCTAACTGATGTCAGCTCATGATGAAATCCTTCATGCAATCAAAGAAAATCTCCTACAAAACGAATACTTGAAAACATATTATATATCAGCACTCAGTATGAAAAATTAGATCCGGATTTTCAACTCCAATATGAAGTCAGTGCTGCTTTATAGATCAGAGACTTAGTGCCGCGTCAGGAAGGGCACTTTGAACAAACTGCAGACCTTCATCAAGGTAATGTCTTCGCTCAATACTACTCAAGATCAGATGGCCGGCCAGGAAAGATCAGTAACAGGGATCTCTGTGAGCGAACCGACCCAGCAGGAACCGATTGTGCAACAAATATGCAGGAAGAAATGGAGATGGATTGGCTGGCCATACTCTGAGGAAACAAACCATCAAGTGACATCACACGAGCGAGCCTGAACACCTCAATGGTAACGTCTCTGACAGCAGGCGGCACTGGGTGACGCTGGTTCGAATCTCATAAGGGACATGAGTTTCTTCAAGGTGATTGCAGATACGCCTGCCTTACTGATTGATGAGTGCCAACTAGGACGAAACCTAGGTCCTGGCAAGGCTTCCTGTGGCCGATTGCCTCCAACTATCTAATATAATATAACATAATCAATAAAATAATCAATGGGTTAACTTCATAACAAGAACGTCCTCGATGTTATCCCCGATAGTGTCATGATTGAGTACTGCTGACAAGTTTCACACCAAAGTGTAACAAGTATCAAGTATCCAGTGGTTCTCTAACTAATGACAACTGGTGATCTAATTCAAAAATATCCCTCATATGTAGTTTCTTAGTTTGTGTGTGTTTTGGTAATACAGAAATTTCTCTAAAGTCAATGTATGATAATAGTTTCACTAGTGAATATACCTTGTAAACACTATATAATTTACTGACTGTCATCAAGTTGCTCTCCAGTTTAATCAACTTTCTTGTTTTGTTTTTTTTACACATTTCAGTGTGCATCATTCTTCAGTTCAACAATGTTTAAATTTATAAATAAAATTGTGGCAAATATTGAACCCAATAGTTTTTGTCAAGTAGGTTATAATTTTATTTATTTATTTACTTACTTATTTTGGATGTTTTATATATTATTATTATTTATTATTGTTCCCTTGAGTTCCTAGTGGAACATAGGGCTTCAACTGCACGCCTCCACTTGCTTCTGTCTTCTGCTGTACTTTCCACTTGCATCCATGTTAGTCCATACTGTTTCAACTCATCTTCACACGATCTACTCCATGTCACCCTTGCACTGACGTCCCACTCGCCACTTCCCTTTCGGGTTCCACTCGAGCATTGGTCTGACGCGCGATGTCACCCAGTGGCCTCCTCAGCCACGAATGTCCAATCCATCTCCACTTTCTCCTGCATATATGTTGAGTGATTGGTTCTTGTTTTGTTTGTTCCCATAGTTTCTTGTTGGTGATTCTTTCCGGTGGCCATCTGATCTTCAGTATAGAGCCAGCGAAGACAGTTGTTGATAAAGGTTTGCAACCTGTTGAAAGTATTCTTGGTGACCCGCCAAGTTTCTGATCCGTATAGAAGAACTGACTGACTTGACGTTTGTATTGAAAATCCGAATTTTGTTGTTGATACTGAGGAGTGACGAAGATTTCCAGATTGGTTTCAGGTTGCTGAATGTTTCTTTCGCCTTCCCGATTCTCGACTTGACATCCTCGTCCGTTCCTCCTGTAGTTGAGACAATGCTCGCTAGATAAGTGAGTGAAGTAACCTATTTCAAATGCCTCCCGTTGATGGTGATTGGCGTTGGATGTTGCTGGTGTTGTTGTTGGTTGGTTGGTTATTTTGGTAACCTCCGTCTTGTCTATGTTCACCTGGAGTCCTGTCTTCACCGGTTGCTTCTTCGACCAGTTTGTCGGTTTTCGCTTGTAAGTCTTCGATTTTGTGTGACATCAAACATAAATCATCAACGCGCGAAATCCAGGTCTTCTGGTTCTTCACGTCGATCAGGACAGGATATCCCTGTCTTCTGGTTTCCCACTGTCTGATGCATAATCCAGACCACCACAATTAGGAATATCATTGGTGATAATAAGCACCCTTGTGTGATTCCAGTGTTTACTCCAAACGCCTCACTGAATTTTCCGTTGTGGATCACTTGACATGTGGCGTTGTCGTACAGCTGTTGGATAAGGTTGATGAACATTTGGGGTACGCCGTAGTACTCGAGTAGTTTCCAAATTACTTCGCGGTCAACGCTGTTGAAGTTTTTGTAGCAATTTGGTTAAGTTTTCGGAGTGTAGTTGCTAGCACCACGCCCCAACCCTCCCTCTTTATCCGGGCTTGGGACCGCCTAGAAAACTAGTGACCTAGTAATCTAGGCGAGGATGTTTTATGTAATAACAAGATTTTCTAGAAAGTTTGAGCATAAACCTATACACTACTAATTGATTGCAATGACAGTTGCAGCGAAGAAAAGTTTGCTTTCCGACGAAGTCACTATCAACTAGATAGCTGTACATTCGTGTAATTATAATAAATGGGTGGGAAAGTTCCAGAATAATTTCCGGTCAAGGGTCAAATTAGGAACTAAAATACCATAATAAACAAGGAGACGGATAAAACTCAAACAAAGTAGCGTCGACATCCATCTGGCAAGAAACGCGGACAACTCTCTGAAAAGGTCCAAATACAAAAAGCTTACATGGAATGGACAATTCATCAACTTTCAAAGCTTCATACCCCTATGCAGAAAGAAGAACCTGATATACGCTCTTTCTTTGACGATTCGGAAGATTTGCAGCGAGGAAGTGATTGACGGAGAACTGCCTAATCTCCGAAGAACCCTGACGGAAAACGGTTTTCCGACCAGGTTTATAGACAAGAATCTCAAATCAAAGAAGACTTCCAAACAAGTCCAATCCATCTCGAAGAATATACTTCTACTTAATCTAGAATTCAAAAGTGGCAGTGTAGCAGAAATCCTTCGCAAACGCCTCTCCAAATCGCTGAGGACAACATACTTCGCCACGAGCCTACGACTGACATTTTCTTGCAAGAAACTGTTCAACCAGAACGCGAAAGACAAGCTGTCGCATTAGGCTACTTCAACGTGCACATACCAGTTTACTTGCTCGTCTGGAGCTGAGTACATCGGCCGTACTATGCACCAACTTGAAAAACGCGCTCGTGAACACTATCCAGCCTGGCTAGTAAAAGGAGATCGAAAACGTGTATATAGTTCAGTGACAGAACATCTGATCAATTCAGGACATTCAGCGCCATTCGAAAAATCCTTCAAAATAATATACAAGATTCGATCAAATCTATCAAAAGAAGCAAAATTAAGACATCTGGGCATAGCTGAGACACTAGCTATCCAAAAGCTCAAACCCACACTATGTATCCAAAAGAAATACGTCCAATCTCTGTCCCTGTTATGGCCATCATAAACAGGTAATCTTTAAGTAGTGACCATCCCATAGCCTTTCTTATCCAAACTTCCTTTTTATTCATGTTATTTTCAAGTTTTTCTTAATCCCTATTTACACTACCAAATTTTTATAACCGAATTTCCTGTCTATTTCGTCATTTTATTATTTCTACATATTTAATCCCTAGAATGCATAAACAATTATTCGTCACACTAGTTATGATCCCAATAGATTTTTCATCCAAACATCTTGTCTATTTATTTTGTTATTTCTACATTTCTAACCCCCAATTGCACAATATGTCAGTCCTCTCAGATTCAATGATTTGATTTTGATTTTGATTACAGCTTGATTCCACACCGTATTTTCAGTACAAGTATGGAATTTTCAGCATGGATATCGGTAGCCCAAATTTACAGGCCGACCATAGATATCGGGTGTGCGTCGGCAGGGGATAAAACCCCGGACCATGTGCATGGTCAGCGATAGTCCTAACCACTGTGCCATCGACGCACTATGAAAACATACTGTGTAAGATTTGATCGACCACTCCTAGTTGGTGAATAAACAGATTGGAATAGAGGGATCAACTTCGATGGATCAATTAATATGAGTTAAAGCCAGTTACTAATACTCTCTTCTACGCTAGATTTATAAGAAGACTCTAGATGATCTGGACTTCACATGCATACTTGAAGGTCTTAAGGCGACGAAGACAGGACGTCAAGTGAACGTAAGCCACTCGGAGGTAATGAAGATAACTGACTACCAACAACAGACACTAATCACTATCAACGGGAGACTTTTTCCAGGAAAGTCATCTCATTCACGTACCTAGGCAGTTTCCTTTCAAATACAGGTAGTGTAGTATAGATGAAGATGTCAGAGCCAGGGTCGGAAAAGCAAGATGGATCTTAATTACTCTGAAATCACTGTGGAAATCAGCTGCACTCAGCATAAGGAAGAAGAGGTCAAATCGTGGCTTCTATATATGGTTCAAACAATTGGCACGTCACAAACACCATTTCTGATGGACCTAACACTCTCAACTACAGTTGCCCACTTCGCTGGATCCATACTGAATATCACATAACCGGCTACGAAGAATCAGAAACAAGGAATTCTGGAAACGAACCAACTGATAGCCTATTGCTCAGCAAATATGCCGAAGGAAATGCACATGTATCGGACAGAGGCTGAGAAGACTGCTGAGTGATATCAAGCTCCAGGTCATTGATCGACTGGGACCGGAATGCGAAGTGACCAGTCGGGTGTTAGTCGAAGGGTGAAATATATATGAGATCTTATGGGAGGGAAATGAAAGCCTATTGGCAGCTCTGAAGCCATCCAAGAAAGACTTCAGGGAACACACTGAAATGTAGATGTGCTGTTGAAGCCCTATATCCCACCTGATACCAGAATCGAACCACGGTGGGTGTGTACTGCTGAAGAGTCCTAAACCGGCACGAAACGGCCGTCCAATACCCCCAGGTTTTCCAGTGGTTCTCTAACTGATGTCAGCTCATGATGAAATCCTCCATGCAATCAAACAAAAATCCCTACAAAACCAATACTTGAGAATAATAATAGTATAATAATATGATCTGAGGTAATAGTTATGTATTTGAGTATGGTGATAAAAGTCATACGAGAGCAAAGTTTGTTTGCGTTAAGTTTAACAGCTAGCGTGATAACACGTACTTGTTTTAAAGTTTATTTCTTGAACCTTAAACTCCCCTTATGGCACTTACTCTTCATTGAGTTTTATACACAATTGACACAGATACAACTCGTAAAACAGATACAATGTTCAGTTTATTGTTATTATAAAAATGTCTGAAAAATAACTTTAGTTTCTGCTCAGAAGTATCATTTTTAATTTGTTTTTCAGAGACTATTTCTGTGTTCAATTTAGAAACAGTTCAAATTCCATTCAAAATCGATTAACAACTACAATTACCTGCCTATAAAATATGTTACGCAACTTAAATTTGATTAATAAATATATACTACTTTAGAAATAAACAGTAGTCGTAGTTTATAACTAAAACTTTGAGATTAATTGAATTTTAGATTTTCACGTCAATGGGCTCTATTTTACGTTAACTGTCTTAGGGTTAAAGCTAGTCAGCTGAAGTGTTCTTCATTTAATCCTTTGTTTTCCCAGTGGAACATACGGTCTCAATCTTGAGCTAACCTCACTTCCTGTCATCTCAGTTTACCGGACTCACTGCCGACTCAATGAGGCTTCGGAGTGCGTTTTCCAGGGATCGGACCCCGATCCATGTATGTGGCTGGTGACTGTTATACCAGTGAGTCACTGACGCATACAGCTGAAGTATTTGGGTTTCCGTAATCAATCAGAAAAATAGGGTTTAGTTAGGAAGGTTAAATCACAACCCTCAAGTAACCACCGTCAGTAAAATAATGGCTCAAATTCTCTATAAATCAGTCAAGTGTCATAGTCTGTTGAGAAAACTGAGGACACATTGAGGTAGACTCATGTTAAGGGGAAAATGAAGAAAACAGCTTAGTGATTGGCTTTTCACAATGTAAAACCCTCAAAGCCAATTACATTTTTTAAAGGAAAGTTAATTCTGGAAACTAAGAGTAGTCATAACAAAGATTTCAGCGACGATTTCACTTACATAGCAGTCATATATATGTTGTGGATTGGAACAGCTAGTTGGTTTATAAGCATGTAACAATGTCCAAAATAAATGAAAATGAATCCCATGTGGATCAGAAAAGAGGTCAGACTAAAGTACAATAGGAGTTTGACTAACTAAATTCCTGGGCAAGAACAACAAAAACAACAGACAACGATCAGCATAAATGGGAGGAACCTGAAAGAAACAACCTCCTTTACCTGCCCACCTAGGAAGCATCGTTTCAAATACAGGTCAACGGAACTGATATCAAAGCAGGAATCGGAAAATCAAGACAAGTTTTCACTACTCTCAAGTCTGTGTAGAGGTCAACAGCACTCAGCATCAAAAATAAGATCCGGATTTTCAACTCCAATGTGAAGTCAGTCAGTGCTACTATACGAATCAGAGACTTGCACTGCGCGTCATAAAGAGCATCTCAGACAAACTACAGACCTTCAGTAACAGTTGTCTTCGCTCAATACTCAAGATCAGATGGCCAGAAAAGACCACCAACAGAGATCTCTGAATATAAGCGAACCAACTCAGCAGGAACCGATTGTGAAACAAATAGGCAGGATGAAATGGAGATGGATTGGCTGGCCATACTCTGAGGAAACCATCAAGTGACATCACTAGACAAGCTCTCGATATCAATAAATATAAACAGCTATGAACATCAGTTTCACCGGTAAAATATGGAAATTTTAAATAAGGGATAAACTAAGCGCCAGAGAATTCCTAGAAGGCTATCACCCCACTCAATCTTCATTCAACAGACTTATCAAATTTACCAATCCGTAAAGAACACGTCATAGTACAAAAACGTAACATTCCAGGTCAATGAAACGATTGATAGCAACATAAAAAATAATGAAAAACAACAAGACAAAGTGATCACGCACGAAAAGTTCATAGGAACTCACTTCATACTGAATTTAGCACTGAATATGCTATCTGCAAAGACAATGAAAGTTTCTCAATTAAACCACCCTAACACTAAGAGAACATAATCACACTACACCCACCTGAGCCACAGATCTTTTCCATTGTTTTTTGATGCTATATAGTGCTGCGAATGGGCCAACACTTCAGTCAGTTAGATAAAGCGCTTAGATACTGACGAAATCTTCATTTTCTTTTGGAAATTTAATCACCAAAAGGTGTGCCACAAGGTGCAGAAACTGACTTGTTTTTAAGAGTACAGTTCACCTCTAAGAGAACTTCTTATTTCATGGCAAAATGTACGTACTTTTTTAGCTGCCGACTCGAACATTCATCCAACAAGCCAATGAAAGACACTGAATGTAGGGAATTTTACAATGTCTAACAAAATTCATAAGTAATAGATAAAAACTGATGAGGACTACAAGAGTAGGACGAAACGGCTGTTCAAGAAATCCTGGATTTTCAACGGTTTTCTAATTTATTGTTGAAAGTATTCCAAATCTTTGTTAAACCCTACGTTTGAATGTCAATCTCCAGGTCATTAGTAGCTGGAAGATGGATCTCCTGAAGTTCCAATAAATAGTCCAATGTGTCTGTGGGGTTTATCATGTCAAGGCGTGAAGCGGATGCTCACCTATGTCAGTGATTGGCTGGGCAGCTGAATCGTGCATTGACAAAAGGTAGAATTCATGGGGTCAGTGAATTTCAACCTATAAGATGAATAGTGAATGGGCTAGCCTAGTAACCCCTGAAAGATATAGACGTTATTCTTTGATATGTGTTTGGATGCACATTGTTGGTCTGTCCCGAAACTAGGACGAAACAGCTGTCAAGGGATCCGTGATCCTCAATTTTCCATAAACTTATCTCGGTTGGTAACGAAATTCACAATGATATGATCCAAAACCCAAAATTTGAGCGAAAAATAAACTATTCGTTCATTATTATAAAGGTTTTTCTATTTCCCAATGAATGAAAAACAAAACGATATTGTTGTTTTCACTAACGTTTCGCTATTTAATGCTAATAGCTTTATCAAAGTATTATTAAACAGGAATTTACAAAATCTCAGCATATATATAACAAAGAGTTAGGGAGTGAGAAAATAGACTCAGGTCAAGTTAAGGGGACGTATTGAAAGTCGAATAGCAATGAAGATCACTAAACCAAATAACAAAGGTAATAGTACATCTGTTATGATATCAAAATAAAGTTTACTAACTTAATCATCGTTCGTCTGTCAGGGGTCATTTTTCATTGTCAAGTTGGTCAATTGGTAAAGGTAAAAAAATCAAGTGTGGATTGTTGGATTTGATCAGTGTGTAAAATTATAAAAGTAGTGTGTGTTTGTTTATATAGTGAACTTGCTTATCACATTCGTGTTTAGTCCATCATTCCTATTCAGACAATTTGGATTCCACTTGATATGAAGTCCTTCTGATGGTAATAGACGTTCTTTGTGATTTCTGAAATGCTTTTTCTGGATGGTGATTTCAATATTGTCAAAATCAGTTTTGTGGCCTGATTCCATAGCGTGTAGGCAATCTATGGCTGATGATTTTTCAAGTTTTTCTAGTTCAACTGGATTCCTCGGTGGTCGAACAGAGGTGACTCTACGGTGTTCATTTCTTCTAATTTTGATTTCTCAAGATGTTTTTTCGAGGTATATTGCATCACATTCCAAGCAGGCATTTTATTTTACATACACAATTAAACAGAAAATCTTTAGGGATTTGATCTTTTATATGGACAAGGTTGCTTTGAAGTTTGTCTGGTGTTTTGAACAGAACTCTAATGTCAAGCTGATTGAGTACTCTTCTAATATCGTCTGACGTCTCCACTCTACATGGAATGACGACTGTTGAGGTCCATGTTTTCGGAATGCGTTTTCGGACATACTTAATGTCTGTGTTGATTTATCGTTTTGTTTTTCAAACACTGGGAAATACAAGAAAACCTTTATTATAATGAATATCATATACCCAATGCCCAAATTTTTTCAAACCGTTAAAAGTGAACTTGGTTTGGACATATATAAGCTATTCGTTTTTCAAAGAATTAGACTTGTTTTAAGAATTCCCAAGAAATCTTAGGTTTGCTGAAGTTTCAGGATCTTCTATACATGCAAGGTTCGTTTGTATGGGGGGGGGGGCGAAAATTTAATTCCCCTCCCCTCTAGCAAATACTGGATGCATTCACGTGCAAGTAATTATGTTCCTGTGATATTTTTTAATTTTTACATGAAGATCCATTCACAGACACTTTCCCTGATAATAAAGTACCATCAGAAATTCGACTAATCTCAAAATAACAATGTTTCCCCACCGACGACATTGGTTGGGATCGCGCTAATTCACGAATTGGTAGAAGTACGAATTCATGCACTGGCCATTGAATCAGGTCCCAGTGGCTGAATGGTATACGAGTCAGCTTGCCTTGTAACTGGAAGGTTCTGGGTTCGAAACTTGGTGGCGGATGCGTACTGCCGATGATTCCAAACTAGGCTGATGGAACAGCTGGCTGCCCAGTACTCCCTGGCTTCTCTAACTGTTACCAACCCGTGATCATCTCGAAAAAATGTTTTGTATAATTATTCCCCCGCTGATAAACTGGAACAACAAAGCAAGAAAACCACACTGAGTAAGATAAAATGACGTCAACAGATATTTATAGATTTTTATGCAAATTCTGATTCGCATAAGTATAAAACTTGAGCACTGTGGTGGTAGAGTATAACTCCATCATAGATAGATAAGATTTTATTTTGATAAATCGCACAGTGTAGTGTTGTACAGTAATATTAACTGATGACCACCTTTCGAACACAAATTATTGCCACTCATAATCATATAAAGTCACTCACTCACACAACTCTCTTGCTTTATTTATATACATGAGTGGAATTGATGATTAGACATTCGAATAAAAATCAAAATAAGATGATAATGTACATTCGGAAATAATAATATAAGTGTTGTCAATGAATTACAATAAACCAGGACTCAGTAATCAATTTCTCTCGTGCTCCACCTACCTAAATAACTTTTTACAATTCTGACTCTGTCCCACTCACACCATTGTGTGATTATGTGTTAATGCATGCAGTGCAATTGCTGAGCCTTTGTCTCAATTACTTATCTTCGCGGGATCAATCATTCTAACAAGTTACTTATTTCGACTATAAAACACTCGTCTTATTTCCCTTCTAATTGTATTTTATTGATAACACTCATATTATTATTTATGAATGTACATTATCTTATATTGATTTTTATTCAATCAAATGTCTAATCATCAATTCCACTCATGTATATAAATAAAGCAAGAGAGTTGTGTGAGTGAGCAGCTTAATATGATTATGAGTGGCAATAATTTGTGCTCGAAACGTGCGGTTATCAGTTAATATTACTGTATAACATTGTGAGAG